CGAGTGGTGGACGGGAGGACAGCAGGGAAACTGGTTATGCTTAGAGAGGGGGCTTGCTCGTGGGCAAGGGAAACACTCAGAGCGGCCGGGGCGCGGCCTGCCTCTATCGTTTGACTGCTGGCTGCCTGGCTTTCTCCCCTGACGTCATCGTGGTGGGCCGAGAGTACCACAGCGGGGGTTTCCCTGTTCTCCGGAGAGGCTGAGTCAGCAGAGGGCTGCCGAGGTTTGCGTCCCCTCCTGAGTGATTCGAAGAACTCCCAGCCTATTTCGATGTCCTGCGTGACGTCAACCTTAATGTCTGCGATTGGCAAGAAGAGGGCGCCTGGTGGGGAAGCAACGAGGCGGTGATTTCGCGGTATTGAGGCCGCACGCTTACCGCGGGCTCCTGTTGCTGCCAGCTTTTTCGGCTTAGGCGACCCAGTTTCCTCTGTCTCCCTCTCTGTTCCTGTGGTGGGGGAGGAGGGTGGCGTTTCGTGCTCCCACGAAGACGACGACGAGGGAGAGGAGGTGGAGGACGAGGTGGTGCTGCCTTCCTCGCTATCATGGACGTCCTGCTGGGGAGACGACAACATGGCGGCTTTGGAGCACGTGGTCGTGAGGACTACCAGCTTGAGGCTGCTTGGTGTTGGTCCACTCTTCGCAGCACGGCCGCAAGACCCTGGAGTGGCTCGGTTGAGTGGCCGTGAAGTGGGAGTAGGGATCCCAGTCTTGCCAGTGGTGTGGGAGCCCTTGGCTGCCTGGAGTTTCCGAGCCCTGGTGAGAGCCGGGCTGGGGCCAGTCTGTCGGGGGGGTTTCTTTACTCCAGCTTCTTTGGATGAGGTGCCATGCATGTTGTTGATGGCCGATCTCGATCACGAGGTCGTGGAGAAGAGAGAAAAGAGGAAAAAAAAGGAAAAAGGCAATGACAAAATAAAAAGGGTGACTACATTTCCCTTTATTCTTGAAGCCCCGAAAAGGGCTGCACACTAGGTGCTGTTCAAGAGCGCCAGAAATACAAATGAAATGGCGCACTGGTGTGCGCGAAGCTACAGATTTAAAAAACTGTGGAGGCGTAAAAAAACGCGACCTTCCTGCGTGGTGTCTCACGGCTTTTTTTTTTCGTGTCGCCCCTGCTCGGCGCGCTTACATACGAGCGAGGGATGTTGACGAGATCAGCACAACGCACGCGCCCCATTGGTTCGCACGGCTTCTCTCTCTCACACTCTCACTTGTTCCCCTCGAGTGGCGGCGCGCGATGGTGGCAACGGAAACCATTCGAGCACGGCTCTCATCTTAGAAGGCAGCAGCTTTCCTCTCCGAGCAGCGTCGTTGGAGGTGTTGGTTGGTTCGAGTGGGACGAGACCCGCTGTTCGCATGCGGTGACCCGGCGCACTCCTGCAAAGGTTTTTCGTCAGTTTTCGAGGTTTTTGGTGAGGTTTCTTTGTCCCTTTCTACCTTTTTTCCAGGTTAGGCTAGCTCCTAACTGACTTGGTAGCCTCGTGGTGGTTTTACCACGATGACTACCAATCTGCTCTCGCAGATTAGGCCACGGGTGCACTACGCACGCGTGCCTAAGGGCGTCGGCAGTGCCGACATTTGCAGGGAGCTCGTGAAGCGCTTCACGCTCACGACGAGGTGAGTCGGCGGTTCTCCGACAATCCAGTCCTCGCCATTGGTGATGCGAGGATAGGTTTCAGTACCGAGGTGTTCGGGTCAAGGGGGTGCGCGTCATTGGCTTCCCGGCGGACGCGGAGCTGCGCATCATAGTACAACTGTTGGCGAGGTATGGAAAGGTGTTGGATTTTGCGCGGGAGGAATCAGCGTATCTGCCGGGAGTCTGGAGCGGCGTCCTCGTGGTCAAAATGGAGATGCACAAGAGTGTCCCCAACCTCCTCGAGGTGAGGGACGTAATCGTCCAGTTTGAGTATGAGGGTGTCGCGCGGGTTTGTCGGCGCTGCTATAGAACCGGACACCACGCAGCGAAGTGCACTGTACCACAGTGTGTGCGCTGTGGGGCTTTTGGTCACGACCAGTGCGCGGTCAAATGCAAGCACTGCGGCGGCGATCATGGCCCCTCACAGTGCAAGGCGCGGACGAATTCGTCGGCCGCCCCGCCTGTAGCCTCTTCTTCTTCCCAGGAGCAGGTGAGCGGCGTTGCGGAGGATCGGGAGGCTGCTCCAGGGGGCGCCGAGGGCTCGACACAGCCACAGCCGGAGCCCATTAGCGAACGGGCTCCAGGAGGCGAAGAGCAGGAGGCGGGGTCGGAATTAGCTGAGGCCCCCACCCTCTCTGCTGCCGCCGAGCCGTCGCCGGCCTTGCCTGCCGGTGCGCCCGGGACCAGCCCTGCTGACGCGCCTGCTGCCGAGGAGAAACAGGAGCCCATGAGCTGGTCGGACGCTGTTCGGGGCAAGAAGCGGCGCGCCACCCAATCACCAGGGCCCTCCAAGGAGAGGCTGGCGGCGGCTCCGAGCAGCGGCCCAGGCAGCCCTAAGGACGACCTCCCGGTTCCGAAGCGAGCCGCAGCGACAGAGTCTGACGAGGAGTCCACCTCATCGACTGTCACGGACGGTACCACGGGTGAGTTGAACCACAGTTCTTCTTGCCCTAACTGTGGACCAGGCAATTGCGAGTGTTCGTTAATGTCTAACACAGTGTACTCGTCCACGAACGAGGATTCCCTCTCCGAGGGGGACTCTCGTTCGTAGGTTTTATGTTAGGTAGCTTTTCAGCAGCTGATACCTTCGAGTATCTGCTGTTTTCTTCTCTTCTGTGATTTTCTTTTCGCTTCTTGCCTAATCTAGAGTCTGTCTTCTCTCCTATCTTTTATCATGGCTTCTTCTCTCACTATTGCTACCTTTAATTATCGGGGTATTACTAGAGCAGCGAAACAAGCTGAGGTTATTCATTTAGCTCGGTCTCGAAAAATAGACATTCTCCTTTTGCAGGAAACTTTTCGTGTCTAGATTGCAACAGATTAAGAACTTTGACAGAACGTTTGGCACCAAATCCTACTGGAATTACGGTGGCGCACATTGCCGGGGAGTTGCTGTCATTTTAATGCCACGATTCACCGGTTCTGTGCTACGCTACGCCAGGGATTCGGATGGCCGTGTTCTGTCAGTGGATCTTGACTCTGGCGTTACAATTGTGAATGTGTATGCTCCAGCAAAGCGCGGACAGCAGAAAGATTTCTTTAATTCCCTAGATTCTTATCTAGTTGGCCCTTCCCGTGTCATTTTAGTAGGCGATTTCAACTGTGTTTTAGAACAAGCGGATCGCGTTTCCCTCAAAGGAACTCCAAAGTATAGAGGCCGAAACGGCGACCTAGAGTTGCGGGAGCTTGTTAAAGAGCTGGGGCTTGTCGATGCTTGGCGGTCCCTCCGTCCTCTCCAGTCAGGCATGACTTGGACGGGGAGGGGGAGCCGGTCGAGGATCGATCGTTTTTATGTCTCGCCCTCGCTTGCTCCTAGCATGCACTCTAGCTGGCTGTGTGCTTCCGCATTGAGTGACCATAGCCTCCTTGCACTGAGATTTGCCGACTCTAGTTTAGTGCCATGGGGCAAGCGACTGTGGCGTTTGAATCTACGGCTCCTTAAAGATAAGGACGCCACAAAAGATTTGGCGACCTACCTCATAGGTTCACTCCTTGGCGACCAGAACCTAGACGGTAGCGATTGGGACACGGTGAAGGCCGGAGTCACGGAGCGCTTTCAAGATTGGGGCAAGAGGCGGGCGCGGGAGGAGCGCGCCGAGATCAAAGCGGTCTCTGACGCGATCCTCTTGCTCTCAAAGCCATTGTCCTGCAGCCCAGGGGTAACCGCGGCTCTTACTTCACTGCGCAAACAATATAGAGTCCTGCTCCAGCGACGCTGGGACCGCTTGCGGGCCACAGCACGCGCAGAGCAGTGGGAAATGGAGGCTTAGTGCAGCAGAAATGTCCTTCGCAGACACTTTGCTAGAAAGAGCTCAGCGATAACCTTATTGGTCGATCCTAACACAGGCGGTTTAGTGGAAACGCAGGACGAAGTATTAGAGGTGGCAAGACAGTTCTACAAGAACCTTTACGCCGAACCACCTCCCACTCCGTACTCGTTTCCTTTCACCAAAACTTACGAGGACTTTGATATTTGTGACACTCCTTTGGTCGAAGAGGAGGTGTTTGCAGCCTTTAAATCCATGAACCATAATCGCAGCTCAGGTTCAGATAGTTTGACATTCGAGTTTTATGTCAAGTTTTGGGGGGTTTTGGGGGGGCCTTTTACCACATTGGCAAACAGGCTTCTCCGTGAGGGGACCCTGTCAGATACTCAAAGAGAGGGGCGGATCACTCTCCTGTGCAAGGATGAGACGAGACGCACCGACCTGAGAGCCTAGGCGGCCCATCACCCTCTTGAACTGTGATTACAAGGTCATAGCTAACGAGCCATGACCGTAAAGCGCCTCGCGCCGAGCGATAGCCCATCCGACCTGAGGGGTGTCGTCGAGGGCTCTCAGCCGCACGACAGTGTGAGGGCACGGGCACTTTGGTTGTGGTGACTGAAGTTACCGTGACCGAAGGCAGCACCGCTGCCATGTTTTTGGGTACGTCCGCTTTGCGTGTTGTGGCGAGAGCTACCGTGCCGAAGGGTAGCCCCTGTGTCAAGTCTCGCTGGGCCCTAGCGGTCAGGAGACGGGCCATGACCGCGGCGTGCCCCACGCGCCGCGATAGCCCACCCTGCCAGGGTACGTTCACTTTGCGCGTTGCGACTGAAGTTGCTCCGCCAGAGAGTAGTCCCTTTGTCAGGCCTCCCTGGCTTGTATGCCGGGAGGCAGGCCGCGTCTGTTGGGCGCCTGGCGCCGAACGGTGGCCCCCTTGCCAGGGCATGGCCGTCTGCCCGAAACAAATCTTCCCCCCATACAGCCCTGGGGGGAGGTGGAGCCGGGACAGACGTAGGATGATGATGGGTTGATGAGTTAAGTGTGACTCTGGGACAAAGCGTTTCGGCGCCGCGTCTCCTTCCTATCTGACAACGGCTCCAAGCGAAAAGCAACACCATGTCCGGACGTGGCAAGGGCGGCAAGGCGAAAGGCAAGAGCAAGACCCGTTCTAGCCACGCAGGGCTTCAGTTCCCTGTGGGCCGTATTCACCGCCTCCTACGCAAGGGCAACTACGCCGAGCGCGTCGGAGCGGGCGCCCCGGTCTACCTGGCTGCCGTACTCGAGTACCTGGCCGCCGAGGTGCTCGAGCTGGCGGGAAACGCCGCTCGTGACAACAAGAAGACCCGGATCATCCCCCGTCACTTGCAGCTCGCCATCCGCAACGACGAGGAGCTGAACAAACTGCTTTCCGGCGTCACCATCGCGCAGGGCGGTGTGTTGCCCAACATTCAAGCCGTGCTTCTTCCGAAGAAGACAGAGAAGAAGGCGTAAGCGAGCACCCCTTTCGCGCGCTGGCTGCATTCCCCAAACGGTCCTTCTAAGGACCACCCAAACAGGTGACGCGGTCGGGCTTCGCTTCACAGTCACGATGGCTCTGTTCGTACCCTAAAGCGTGTTTGTTTTTCTATAGTTTCTATATATTTCCTCGCGACATCAGTTAGCCACAAGTGCGCAACGCCAAATGCTGCACAGAGACAACCAAATCACGCAGCTCGGCACCGAAAAAGAGAGAAAAGAGCATGTAAGCGTTGTCATTAGTTACTGTGAAGCTCCACACGTAACCGTCTATCCTTACGATGACACCTGAATGGGTCAGCACAGGGACAGAGTAAATTTATTACTTCTGAATCTAAAAACAAACGTAAGGTAAAAAAAGAGAGAGAGAACCCGCCGTTAGCGCAGTTCACTTGGTGCTTCTAACACAATTTATTTTTGTCTATATTGCAAGAAAGCGCAGCCACTATTACACAGAACACACAACACAAGCGCTTAACATCAACTAAACGTTTATTGCAAAAAAAACTGTCAAGAATGTGGCACAAAAACTTGTTCTGTTTCAAAAAAAATGAAAGGAAATGACACGTCATGATTTTGAGTGTGTTAGTGCACTCTCTATCGCGCTCACGCGGAAAGAACTTTTTTTTTGGATGGGGTGATAGAGAATAACAGATAGTAATGTGCGGGACTAGCACGTCTGCTTTTTATTGGCTACCTTTTACTATTCCTTTTCTCTGTTCACCCCCTTTATAAACTCTGATGTTTGCAATAAACGTTCAGTTGAAGTTAAGCGCTTGTGTTGTGTGGTCTGTGTAATAGTGGCTGCGCTTCCTAGCAAGATGGATCCTTACCAACTGGCCCGATACAATTGTTTATTTCGTGTCTCGGTAAAACTTCATCACCTCCTACGAGTGCACCCAAAAGTTGCGCCGGGGTCCAGCAGCCCAAGTCACCATGGCGTTACGCAAACAGAAGCCCTCAAAAACACCTTACAAGCGGCGGGCAAAAAGGTAAACACATAAATGAAATTGACACACCACAGGTTCGCAGCACGGCTGCTGCACACACACCGACTGAAGCTAGCCTACCTTTTCTCTGTCTACTCATAATGATACACACTTTTACGTTGAATTGTCAAAGCTGAGCCATTTCTTCGTAATAACGACACGCCGACGTTCCTTTCTTCCGCGCGCTAGACAGCGCAGCCACGAACGTACAAAACATGACAGCAAAAGAGCGTGCGGCCGGAGTACGTGGCCTGGAGTGGTCTCGTAGCCAAAGCAGACACGTTGGTGGTCCTGAGAAGGACCGTTTGTTGTTGCTTGCCTGTCGACCGAAGCGCAGGGAGCAGCCCAACTTAGGTGCGCTCACCGCGAATGCGCCGAGCCAGCTGGATGTCCTTTGGCATGATGGTGAAGCGCTTAGCGTGGATGGCGCACAGGTTGGTGTCTTCGAAAAGACCAACGAGGTAGGCCTCGCTAGCTTCCTGAAGGGCCATCACGGCAGAACTCTGGAAACGGAGGTCCGTCTTGAAGTCCTGAGCGATTTCCCGCACCAGGCGCTGAAAGGGAAGCTTGCGGATCAGCAGTTCGGTCGACTTCTGGTATCGGCGAATTTCACGCAGGGCCACGGTTCCAGGCCTGTAACGGTGAGGTTTCTTCACGCCCGCCTGTGGCAGGGGCACTCTTGCGAGCAGCCTTGGTAGCAAGCTGCTTACGTGGAGCCTTGCCTCCGGTACTCTTGCGCGTGGTTTGTTTAGTTCGGGCCATGGTACCGTTGTAAGATAGGAAGGAGACGCGGCGCCGAAACGCTTTGTCCCAGAGTCACACTTAACTCATCAACCCATCATCATCCTACGTCTGTCTCGGCACCACCTCCCCCCAGGGTTGTTTGGGGGGAAGATTTGTTTCGGGCAGACAGCCATGCCCTGGCAAGGGGGCCACCATTCGGCGCCAGGTGCCGAACAGACGCGGCCTGCCTCCCGGCGTACAAGCCGGGGAGGCCCGACAAAGGGACTACCCTCCGGCGAAGCAACTTCAGTCGCAACGCGCAAAGTGAACGTACCCCGGCAAGGTGGGCTATCGCAGCGCGTAGGGTGCGCTGCGGTCATGGCCCGTCTATTGACCGATAGGGCCCAGCGAGACTTGACACAGGGCTACCCTTCGGCACGGTAGCTCTCGCCACCACACGCAAAGCGGACGTACCCAAAAACGTGGCAGCGGGACAGCCCTCGGTCGCAGTAATTTCAGTCACCACAACCAAAGTGCCCGTGCCCTCACACTGTCTCGCGGCTGAGAGCCTGCGACGACACCCCCTCAGGGCAGATCGGCTATCGCTCAGCGCGAGGCGCTTTGCGGTCATGGCCCGTCTCCTCACCACAAGGGCGCATTAGGACACAATCCGTCCTGTGGGGTCTACGGGACTACTATTTGGTGCAGAGGCCAGTGCCGCTGCACGCAAACCAGACGTAGTCACGGAAACCGGCACGGCTGAAAGCCGGCTTAGTCCTTCTCGAAGAAGGGAGCCACCTTCCGCCTCGACGGGTAAAGTTGCCGAGCCTACAGAAGGGGCCAACCCGGACCTTGCGGGTAAAGCCCGACAAGGTGACAGGATCACCTTAGCACATGCGAAGCTCGTGTGAAAGACCATGCAGACCAAACTCGGGGGCGACTGGCTCACTAGGCCTAGTCGTGGAGCCTTAGAGAAAGCCATCATTAGAAGTTGATGGTTATCTGCCCTCCTGCCTCACTGAAAATCACTGCCGGACGGTGCCACGTCTCGTAAAACTTCTTTGCACCTAGGCAGCTGCCAATCTCGGTGGAGAACGAACCAGACCTCCTTACGTACTTTTGCAAGCACTTCGTGAAGCCCGGGTCGCTTGCTGTCAAAGACGGCACAGCTCCGTGCAACCCACACTTGGTACGAGCACTCAACAAGCAGAAGCACGTATTGCTTAGCCGCTTGTTGCGAAGGGGGATGGAGAAAACGAACGGTGTTGAGAGGATCACCTGGGTGGCCAAACAAGCTAGCTATCCTTCGATGGAGGGCAGCTGGTAGTGCGCACTGAGAGAACACGTGAACCAGGTCCTCCATAGTGCCACAAAAAGGGCACGCTCCTCGTTGAGCAATTCTTGTGAAGGGCCTGAACCTTAGAGGCAGGCGGTCTCTGGCCAGGCGATACATGAATGTAGCACGCTTGGCGTCCAGGAAACTGGCAGTAATTAACCGCCAGTTAGGACTGTGTTGGGACAGGTCGTGTTCTCTATAGCGTTCAGGTAACTCTGGAGCGAGTCTATCGACTAACTCGCGGAGTTCGATCGAAACTACTTCTATCTCGGGGTCGACCTCTTGGAGACGGACCAAAGTAGAGGCGGCCCCTGCATAGAAGGCTGAAGGCGTTCCCGCCCGAGGCACAGAATTCGGAAATGCCCCAGGTGAGAACAACCTCAGCCTGGTGCTCAGGAAATATGATGCGAAGCTTCTAGTAAGGAGCATATCTGAATCAAGAGCTACCCGTGTCCATTTAACATGTAATGCCGTGGTCACAACGCTAAGGTCGGGAATACCTAGTCCTCCTTCGTCCCAGCGCAACTTCAACACGGGGCGCGCCACAAAAGGAGAAGCACGACTCCAAAAGAATTTGAGAACTTTCTTTTCCAAGATAACTTTGGTGTGGGGTTTAACTGGCATAACCGAACCTATGTACGTAAGGAAACTGAACAACAGTGATCGAATTATCGTGGCCCTAGCTGTAAGCGGACAAGACAAGGCACCGAGTTCCTCAATCCTGTCAGACAGCTTTTGCCTTGCTAACCTCCAGTTTTCGGTAGTCAGGCCATCTGGCTCGAAATGGAAACCTAATATACGTAGGCGCTTCTGTATGGGGAGGCCATGTACAGGACGTGGACTGGAGGGAGCGCAGTTCAGATACATGGCTGCGCTCTTCGACTTATTTATTCTGGCGCCGCTCGCCTGAGCAGTACCCCTCCATAACATCCAAGATGGTACAAACAGTTGCCTCGTCCGGGATGACAATAGAGAGGTCATCTGCATAGGCAAACATTGCCACCGAAGGGGAACCTGGCGAAGGGGAAATCTACCTATGCTGGTGTCTTTAGAAAGCCTCGGCAAGAGCGGCTCGAATGCGAGCACGTAGAGAGCGGGCGACAGTGGGTCTCCCTGTCGGACTCCACGGCACACACCGAACGACTCCGAGACGCGATCTCGTATGACAACAGCAGAACTAGGACGAAAGTAGAGAGCCCTGACCATGCTGATGAACTTGGAACTGAAGCCCGCCTGCTTTAAAACCTTAAAGAAGTACTTATGACTGATAATATCAAAAGCCTTTCTTGATCAAAAGAACAAATGATTCCACTTAGTTTGCGAGAGTTCGACCATTCTATAAGGTCCCTAATAGCAAAACCATGAAGTTGGCACGACCTATTTTGGACACAACACGCCTGGTACGGACCCAAAACAGTACTGAGCACTCGAGTGAGTCGAACGGACAGGTACTTAGCTATGAGCTTGTAATCACAGTTCAGGAGGGTGATGGGCCGCCAGGCTCTCAGGTCGGTGCGTCTCGTCTCATGCTTGCACAGGAGAGTGATCCGCCCTTCCCTTTGAGTTGCTGACTGGGTCCCTTCACGGAGGAGCCTGTTTGCCAATGTGGTAAAAGGCTCCCCCAAAACCCTCCAAAACTTGACATAAAACTCGAATGTCAAACCATCGGAACCTGGGCTGCGATTATGGTTCATGGATTAAGGAGCTGCAAACACCTCCTCTTCGACAAGAGGAGTGTCACAAATATCAAAGTCCTCGTAAGTTTTGGTGAAAGGAAACGAGTACGGAGTGGGAGGTGGTTCGGCGTAAAGGTTCTTATAGAACTGTCTTGCCACCTCTAATACTTCGTCCTGCGTTTCCACTAAACTGCCTGTGTTAGGATTGACCAAAGAGGTTATCGCGGAGCTCTTCCTAGCCAAGTGTCTGCG